CACCTCCCCCTGGCGTTTCACGCCGATGAAGTAATACTGAATGGTGGCGTCACAGAGCGGGATTGGAGTTTAAGTTGATGTAGATTCATTTTCATTGCTCCCTCCCTTGGGTGCGTGGGCTCAGCTACAACAACAACGTGGACATTATTGTGTGTACACTGTGTGTGTGTGTACACTGTGTGTATATACTGTGTGTGTACACTGTGTGTGTGTACACTGTGTGTGTGTACACAGTGTGTGTACACAATGTGTGTGTGTACACTGTGTGTGTGTACACAATGTGTGTGTGTACACTGTGTGTACACTGTGTGTACACTGTGTGTGTGTGTACACTATGTGTGTATACACTGTGTGTGTACGCAATGTGTCTGTGTGTACACTGTGTGTGTACGCAATGTGTCTGTGTGTACACTGTGTGTGTGTGTGTACACTGTGTGTGTGTGTACACTGTGTGTATAATCTGTGTGTGTGTACACTGTGTGTGTGTACACTGTGTGTGTGTACACTGTGTGTGCACAGTGTGTACACTGTGTGTACACTGTGTGTGTACACAATGTGTGTGTGTACATAATGTGTGTGTGTACACAATGTGTGTGTACACTGTGTGTGTACACAATGCGTGTGTGTGTACACTGTGTGTGTTTACACTGTGTGTTTACACTGTGTGTGTTTACTCTGTGTGTGTTTACACTGTGTGTGTACACTCTGTGTGTTTACACTGTGTGTGTGTGTACACTCTGTGTGTGTTTATACTGTGTGTTTACAGTGTGTGTACACTGTGTGTGTACACTGTGTGTTTACACTGTGTGTGTACACTGTGTGTGTGTACACTGTGTGTGTACACTGTGTGTGTACAATCTGTGTGTGTGTACAATGTGTGTGTGTGTACACTGTGTGTGTTTACACTGTGTCTGTGTGTACACACACAGACAGTGTAAACACACACACAACCTCTACCGTCAGCAGTGGATGGGTGTAGCGAGGTGCAATGCCCCCCCCCATCTCTGTGATTAAAACACACAAACACCACTAGCCTATAATAATAAAGTGACCAAAAAGGACAAAGAGTACGTTTGACCTGTCAACTGATATAAATTCCACATTTATGTGGCGTAGCCCAGTCTCTCCATTGGATGACTCCTGTTAACCTCACACAGAGTAGTACTCAATTTATTGAGCTCTGATGCCCAAACTGTATTTTGAAATTGCAACCTTTAAAACTGCGAGACAAACGTTTTAACCACATCACTTTCCAGCCAGAAATCTCTGCCCAAGTTGGAGCACTCTACCAATGAATCCAGTCATCTGAAATTAACGTGATTGTAACATGCATTCGGAATTCCTTTGGTCGCCCAAATGAGCCTCCGCACCTTGGCATGGATAGCGAGTCCTGCACTCACGTCAGAAGCAATAACGTCCAGCTATTTTATTTCAGCATGGCAGATTTTAAGCCACGTTGACTTGGAATAAACCTCCCCAGGTACTTGGTCCGATTGAAACTGTAAAAATAAAATTGTACCCTTAGGGGTTAGCCTGAATTGAACCCATGAGATCGGATCCAAGCGTAATGCATCAAAGCAGCACTCCCATCTCACTGGATTTGTACAAAATATCTGTGCTATACACCATACTACTTTACAGTAATATACTACTATACTTTAGCTGGAATGTAGCATGTTTATGGTAGAGTGGATTATTTGTAAATTTTGATTGAAAATCCGAAGTGTCTTCAGTTATAAGACTCCGTCATTCTTCAAGCTGCATACCAATGTTGAACAAACATTTACATTGCTAAAGGACATTTGCAGATGATACATTATTAATGTTTGAGACAGAGGGACATGCCAATGCACGTGAATGTTTTTCAATAAAACATATCAAAACTATACAGTTGCAATGATATTAAAATTAAATCCAAGCAACATTACCATTTTCCCTGCTCCTTGAGTTTGTGCTCAATACTTTAACGTGTACAGGGCCATGGCGGTGTGGGGGCCGACGTCCACCCCACCGCCCTCGCTAGGCAGGTGGGGCGCGACGTCCGCCCCTTCCGCCGCCTCCTCCACCGCGTCGGTCGGCTCCCGCCGGGCCCCCGCCGACCGAGCGATCGGGCCCCCCGCGCTAGCGCCCTCTCCGAGGGACAGACTCGTGCTGCTGGCTCACGGCCGCACGGAGTAAACCCACGCACCCCCGCGCGCACCGCGGCTATCGCTAACGCAGCGGACAGCGGCACGCTAGCGCCTACACCGGCGAGCGATTACCTCCACGAGCATCCGCGCGCACCGCAGCCGTCGTTAACACGGGGCCCGAACGGTCTCGCACCTGCGGGCGATTATCTCAACGCGCGTCCGTGCACGCCGCGCGCCCACTACGGCTGACGCTGACGCAGCACGCGGCGGCCCACTCGCGTCCACGCCGACGAGCGATGATCTCAACGCGCGAGCTCCGGCCGCGGCTCCGCCCTCGCTCTCGCCGCGCATCCGCCCACGCAGCCGCTCCGCACGGGAATCACACGCGCACCACACCGATGCTCTCTGCTAACTTTTATTCGTGGCGCAAACCCCGCACCGCCCGGAGGGAATATTCTACGAGCGGAGCCTAGGCCTACCGCTACCCAAGTCCGCAAATGCTCGCAGGCCCCATCACGTACCTCGCGGCCGTGCTCACGGCGTCTCGCGGACGCCGTGAGAGTCGGAGGGACGAAGACGAAAGGGAACTTTGCCTATCGCCGCCTCGTAGCGGCGCTCGCCGGCGTCGCACGGATGCCGCGAGCGGCTCGAGAAGGCGGGGAGCGTCGCGCGCGACTCGTCGCCGCCGACCCGGCGAACCTTCGCGCGCCCAAACAATTTGAAGCCAACTCAGGGGCGCCGCAATGTGACTCGCTCTGCGAGGGTCGGCCATTCTCCTGGCACCGGGAAACCGCGGGACTTTCATCCCAGAGACCCTTCGGATGAAAACCCGTCGTGACGGGCAAACCCCCGCCAGGACGCTACGTGTGCGCGCTGCAGGTGCGTGCTCGGTGTGGGGGGCCACGGGGGAGTCGAGGCGATGGCGGAGTTGCTCCGAGACCGTGGCACCACAACGGATCGGGAATTGCGTTGAAATCCGGCTCACGCAAAAGCACAAAAGGGGCGACCCAACGGGACCTGAAATCAAATCGATTCGCCGAGTCGACAAATGTGCACATTGCCCCGGGGATGGCAACTGACAGTCGAGTATGGAAAATCGTGATGTGAACAGATTCTGTTTATGTGCGACACAACTTCACGCCACATGGTCGCACGGGGAAAGACGGTGGCATAAGTAAATACAAAAACGAACCAGTAAACCATTGGTGATTGAATTTAGATTTAAAGCTTTCGTGACTGCAGGGATTCATATTCTTGGTTCTTTCGGTAAAGTCACATATAAGGAAAACAATAAAATAATAAAAATATAAAACAATAAAATTCTCACGACGTTTCGACTGCAACACAAGCAATCATCATCAGGTGTGAAAACCACAGCAAGAAAATTTGAAAAAAAATTGGTAATGGATCAAAGCTATGAAGGTGATGATCCAGGAAAATTATATTATGATGCTGTGGGAAAAGGTAATAAGTTACTCTAAAGTGCCTGGCCATGGAAACGTTGGTAATGATTAGGAAAAAGTCTTAAATATGTTGACGTGTAAATCAGCAAATCAAATTAAATCCACAGAGGAGGGAAAGAAGGATCCCAAGCATGCGACACTCAGAACCAAAAGTGGCAGAGACTCGGCCGAGAGAGTGGAGAGAGAGGAAGAGACTTTTCAGGACTTTATTTCCACTAAAAAATGTACAAAAAAACATTACAGGAAAAAAACACCTAAATTGAAAATCAATAAAACATCAAACTCTTAACAGCGGTATGTGCATGAAATACAAATGGCACCGGGATAGAAGCTGTGGAAACGAGGCGGTGCACGGACATCTCCGTGTGCAGCAAAGTTGTTCAAGGGTTTTTCAATTTTATAAAGAATCAAATGTTTTGACATCAGAATGCGATGTGAACAATATATATTTTTCTCCCGTACAAAACGAAATGTCAAACACCTGAATTCGTTTTTTCTTCAAGGATTCTGTTGTCGTAGTTATGTATGCAGTCTGCAAGTTTTTTTAATGTGGGCACGTGCAAATATTGTCTGGGTACATTAAAATATATCTTTGAAAATGTGTCCTAGACACTATATTTGAAAGTTAATAAAAGTAGAATTGAAACATTAGCACAATGTAGATTTGTATATTGTAGGGTAGAAATATATTTATCATAGCGATGATCTAACATTGGTTTAATACAATTTATATTTTTACTTAGAATACTTTAGCCATGCAATAGACTAAATATAATGCTTGTGTTTTAAAAGAACAAAAATATATTTACCAGGATTAAAGTTGCGCGAAAGATTTTATAAAATCTGAGGCTTGGAGAATTGCATGCTGGGAATTAAATTGAGACAGAAAGGGGTTAATGCATGCCTTGCAGAGCAGGCGCACGTTACAGAGATTATTGACAAAACAGAATGCGATGTGAACAAAATATATTTTTCTCCGCTACATTTTCAAAACGAAATGGCGTCGACATGTCAAACACCTGAATTAGTTTTTTCTTCAAGGATTCTGTTGTCGGTTTTCATTAAAGTGTAATGACAGGGTGACACCTGCTGACATCACAGGGTGACACCTGCTGACATCACAGGGTGACACCTGCTGACATCACAGGGTGACACCTGCTGACATCACAGGGTGACACCTGCTGACATCACAGGGTGACACCTGCTGACATCACAGGGTGACACCTGCTGACATGACAGGGTGACACCTGCTGACATCACAAGGTGACACCTGCTGACATCACAGGGTGACACCTGCTGGCCTGGCAAGGGCTTAACAGGTACGGCCACAGAGGTAACAACCAATCAGGGAAGGAGGCGCATCTGGGGCAAAGGCAACAGGTGGGGCTAGCCGAGTTACTCCGGTAACCTGCTCGAAAGGTTCCACGAGAGGGCGTGGCCGGAGGCGGGGGATTCGCATTGTTGAAGATGTTGTAGGCAAGCTGACACGCCACTTCCCGTGCTCCCTCCTCGCTGGAGCTCAGAAATTCGGGGAAGATGCCGGCGCCTCCTCCCACCCCAGGAATCGACATCTTATAGAGGAGGCCCACGGGTATCCCGGGCTCCGAGTAAGCGTGCAGCTCGAAGATTGGGTAGCTGACGCCGGCGGTCTGGCACAGCATCCGCAGCCGCACCTCCCACGACAGCATGGCCGCCTCCGGCAGTGCCTCGAGAGCAATGGGCATGGGCCGCAGGTGGAGAGGTACCCACCACAGCTGCATGCGTGCCCCCCAGCCCCCAAATTGGCTTTGTGCGGCTTTGCCGGTGCCCGTGCACTCCGGCTGCAGCAGGTCTGGCACGGCCGCCTCCATCTCCACCGCCGCGGCCGCAGCCACCCGCTCCGAGATGGCCCAGTCCACCTTGATGGTCCGGCCCCATAGCTGCAAGGTGATTCGAAGGAGCTTCTTCCTGGCCATGGCGGCCGCGCGATGGCTCCCGTACTCGATGAACGCGTAGCCTCGGTTGAGAGTTTTGTCCCAGCGACAGACGCTCATCTTGACGTCCACCACGCCCTCCGTGGCACCGCTCATCGCCATCATCACCTCCGCTCGCTTCTTGTCCTCTGGCAGCCCCCCAATGAAGAGGCGGCGATTGTCCACGCTAAAGTGGACTCCAATGCGGTGTCCGGGACGGATCTCTAATTTGTTGAGTTTCTTGACGGCATCCGTGGCTTCGACGAGCGTCGCGTAGGTAGCGAACGCATAGCCGCGGTTCTCTCCGCTAATCTCCATCATGAGGCGGAGCTGGTAGAGCTTCCCCACCGTCTCCAGCACGGGCACCAGCTCATCCTCGTAGAGGTCGCGCGGGATCCTCCCCAGAAACACCTCGTAGCCACGGGCGGGAGGGGGCCCCTGCCAGTCGGGCGGTGGTCCGATCTTCCTCTGTCCGTTCTCCTGGACGATGTTGTACCCCGTGCGCAACATGCGGTCCAGCAGGACCTTCATACAGGCCATGCCGAGCGCCGATGGTTTGGCTACTACGGTGGTGCCGGGGCGGCGCCTTGGGGCCCGGTGGAGCCCTTGACACTCCGCGCAGTCGCCTCGTGCCGACAAAGCCACGGGGGGAATCAGCTCCTGAAGAGCCAAATCCCCGGCAGGAACTCGCTCGGCCCAAACCTACAGGCCAGCAGTGGAGAGAGGAAGAGAGAGAGAGTGGAGACGGATGGAGAAAGAGAGCCGCGTTTGTTCGGTCCATGGGCCTAAATGTGACGTTAGCGTAGCCTGTGCAGTATGCATACAGCGCTTTTGTCAATCCACTGCTGGATGAAGCCCTCCCGCACATTGCGCAGAGGAAACAAGAAACACAAACTCACACGGTTCCCGGCATGCGTTTGTTTGTCCTCGGAAATGTTCACCGAGCGATGATTTTGCGTTTCGAGCGGCGCTCACGAGGCGGCGTTTGACTTCGCGCGGTGAACTTCGCCCGTGATGACGTCACTGGGCACGACAGGAGAGGTCGGCGCTGACTTTTAGCGCCGGTTTTTTTCTCCCCATCCAATAGTCCATGAGACGCTTCAAAATGAGACCGTTTTGCCGGTATCAAAGTATGACAATATAAGAAGAGATTTGATCCTTTTTTGGCAATAAAACAGGTGTTTAGATGTTCAAACACCAAACAGAAACCTTCTTCAATGAATCTTAAGATCTGTTTTATTGCCAGAAAGGATACAACCTATTCTTATTTTTTCATAGCCCATGAGATGTCTCCTTTGTCGGTACCACGTGAGGTGGCCTACATTGAGCAGTTTCAATTTCTCTATGTGGCCAGTGATAAACAAATGCAATGAGTGAGACTATCAAGTAATTTACTTTCATTTTCCATCCAAATAAATGGGTACGACTGAAGTTTTGCTACCTTAGGTGGTACCGAGTTCTGCTCTGGACCATGAGTGGGCCGTTTAATCAATTTTGGCCAGTTTTCAACATTGTTAGGTCCCTAATAGCAACGTGAGCTGTTGTACTACAATTGTGTTCATATTGGATCATCTTTACAACAGAGCAGACATGCAGACAGAGCTAATGCTTAATGCTTTCAAACCCTCATTGTTGAAATGTGAGTTTACTTGCAAATGGAATCACAGTCCCAAATCATGACCGCAGAATGGTTGGAGCGAGTTGTTGGGGAGGGTGGTGGGTCGGGGGTTGAATTGCCATCATCAAAGCAGCACACGCCCCACCTTATGAACCACACAGAGTAATCACGTGAGACAGACGTTGTATAGAAATGAGTATTGTTGTTGTAGCGTTCACCAAAACGATCCAGGATATCTTCTTTGGTTCTTTCGGTAAAGTCACGTAGAATGAGAATAAAATAATAAATTGATAAAATAAAATAACACAAAAAATCCTCACGACGTTTCGGCCACAACACAAGCGGCCTTCATCAGGTGAAGGGACGAGACTGTCTGGAGGACAGCGCTGGAGCGAACAAAGCCAAGCTCAGATCGCGACCTTTAAGCTGTGTGAGAAGAAACAAAGCGCCTTGACAAAGGAATTAGCTTGGAATTTAGCATTGAAACGGCTGAGTGATTAGCTTGTGACTGGTCACAGAAATGGCTATGTTAAAGTCAGCATACACATTCACAGAGGCATCTATTACAAATCAAACAGGAGAATTTAGCATTGAAATAACTAGGAGAATTTAGCATTGAAATAGCTGAGTGATTAGCTTGTGACTGGTCACAGAAATGGCTATCTTGAAGTCAAAGCCTACACATCTGAGCTATTCATAGTAACTGGGTATACACTACACTATATAATGAATACTATATAGTGAACCAATAAAAAACTAAAATATAAATTACCTCAATGTTATCAATAAACTCTATATATTCTCCAATCAGCTAAGCTACCAACAATAAGTCGTTATATATCACAATTCTATATGGCGAAAAAATGGGTGGATTCTTACCCTCAACTTTAGCACGTACACCAGGCTCTCAGCCTCTCAGGGCTAATGGTTACTCCGACTACACAATCCGCAAAGCCATCACTCCAGTCATGAAGGATCCTCTTGTGGATCCACTCAAAACCATCACCTTATCCTACATTGCAGGGGTCACTAAAAAGATCTCCAAAATCCTGAATAAATACAAGATCCAGGTCCGATGCAACACAGTACATAAAATACGTGATCTGATTCCATCTGTAAAAGATGCTGTTCCAGACATACAGTACCTGGGCGTTTACAAACTAAAGTGCCTCTGTGGTAGTAGCTACATTGGAGAAACCAAACGACATATCTCGGACCGCATCCGCGAACATAAAGCAGACTTGAAACATGGTAGAACGAACTCCTCTGCCGTGGCAGATCACTGTTATAATTCAGTGGGCTCACATGACATTGACTTCTCCAAGACGGAGGTTCTTTGCAAACCAACCGACTACCATGAGAGATTTGTTCATGAGGCCATTCACATATACAAGCACAGAGACAATTTCAACCGAGAAGATAGATTCTGGCTTAGTAACCATTGGAAAGATGTTTCAAACCATTTCCGTTCTTAATTTTGGTACCGCCAAAGGTGGTCTAATGATGTAGATGACTTCCCCACGCTCAGATTTTAATCTGGCTGAAAGAAAAAAATCATCCAATCCAAATCGATGTTATATCTGCCGAGTTTCCAAATCCAGAGGAAGACCCAAAATCTGTTTGCAGTAGTGACCGCAAATATGATTCATGGACCATGCGGAAACCTTAATGTCAATGCAGCAGCATGTATGAAGGACATAGAGAGCAGCAAGAAATATCCGAGACAATTTATTAAAGACACACAAACTGGAGATGATGGATATCTTCGCTATAGAAGGTGAGCTCCAGCAGACGGTGGATACACAGCAAGACTGAAGATTAGAGGCAACACGGAAATCGAAATGGACAACAGGTGGGTTGTTCCGTATTCTCCGCTTCTTTCTAAAATGTTTCAGGCGTAGATGTGTTGACCACGCTCCACCTCCTCCAGTCAGTGTGTGTATCATGGTGTGTCAGTGTGTGTGTCAGTGTGTGTCCGGCAAAACAACCCCCTACCTCCTCGCGGTGCCGGACGGGCAACTCTGTCGTGGACAGTGCTGTGGGGGGAGATCCAATTTTGATTGGCTCCTCCCCTCATGGCATATGTGTCCACCACAGGGGCTAAACGGGGGCTCTGGACGGGTGCGAGGGGCTGGTAACCCCTCCACCTTCAATTAATTACCACGAAACCACGAATTAAACTGAAATATGTAACTAATAAGCTTGTGCCGGAGGCCCCGGGGGGCCAGGCGTCTATGACGTCTCCTGGCCAAACCCCAATTGGCGGAGCCAGGAGATTGAATACCTACCCTCGGGGCTACTCCAGAAACAACGAAAAGCCACTACGGGTGGCCACGTGGAATGTTCGAACGCTCACTGCAGAGGAGAGGCTGCCACTCCTCTGTCGGGAGCTGGACCGGTACCGCCTGGATCTATGCGGCATTCAGGAGGTCCGGTGGACCGGCTCTGGCTCCTGCCACCATGAGGGGTGGACAGTCCTCTACTCGGGGCAGCAGACTGCCAAACAACAGGGTGTGGGTCTTCTTTTGAACAAAAGAATGAAGGGGGCGTGGGAGCGTGGCGGTGAGGTGTGGGAAGCTGTAAGCCCCAGGCTACTTTGGGCTCGCCTTCCCATCAACCGGAGGCGAGGAATGGTGGTCGTGGTTACTTATGCCCCCACCGAAGATGAACATCCGTGGAGGGATGCAGGCAAAGCCGATGAGTCAGATGCCTTCTATGACCTCCTGTCACAGGTGCTGGCTAAAGTGGCCCCTCGGGATAGAGTCATCATGTTGGGTGACTTCAATGCCCGAGTTGGTCATGATACTGGCACCTGGTCTGGAGTGATTGGAGGGCATGGGCCAGATCAGCCCAATAACAACGGTAGGAGGCTGCAAGATTTTTGTGCAGCCCATGGGCTTGTAATTACCAACACGCTGTTCCGGCATCGGCGCATCCACACAACATCATGGATGCATGCCGGGTCCAAGCAAGAACATCTGCTGGACTACATAGTGACGGACCAGCGAATGCGAGCCCATGTCCTTGACACCAGGACCTACCGTGGAGCTGATCTGCCCTCTGACCATCGACTAGTCATCTGTAAGATGCGCCTGCCATTCTTCCACTCCGGTGGTGGGTGTACACCCAGGACCCCATTCCAACATAAAGTGGCCTGGTCTCAGTTATCTGATGAAAGTTGCAAGCGAGAATTTCATCATCGCTTGCGGCTGGGATTGGCATCGTCCCCGACTCCTCCTGATGTCGAGGGTAAATGGGCGAGGTTTAGGACTGTGACTCATGCAGCTGCAATGGCTGCTTTGGGTACGCGGTCCAGACCTCCCCAGAGACCCTGGCTGACAGAGGAGGTGTTCAGGATGGTTGAGAAAAAGCGACAGGCCCACTGTCATCGGCTACAGAATCCCACGTCAGAGAATGAGGAGGCTTACCGCAGCCTTCGCTCGGAGGTTCGGAGAGCCGTGAGGCGCTGCAAGGATGGGTGGTGGTCGCGGGTTGCTGAGGAGATGGAGTCTGCCTCAGTGGCCCGTGATCACAAATCTCTATTTAACTCCATCAAAAAAGTAACCTGCAGCGCCACACCTATTACCATCATTAGGGGAAAAAATGGTGATCCAATCTCCGACCCCCAGGAACAGGTTCGCAGATTTGCTGAGCATTTCTGTGAGGTCCTGGGGGAGGGAAAATCCCTCAGCCAGGAAAACATCGTGGCACAAAGTGAGGATGACCCTGCTGAGGCTGCGGTGCCTCAAATATTGGAAGAAGTCACCCCTGTGAGTGGCTGGCTGAGGTGCCATCCGTTGAGGACAGCAAGTTGGCACAGTAGGGGGCACAGGTGGTGCATCAGCCAGTCGTCTCAGTCAGTCGACCTGTCGCATCTGGGTCTGCCCCGTGACCTCCTGCCAGCGGGCGTTCGACAATTCAC